ACATAAACACCATTGTCAAAAGGTTTGGCATAAAAAATTTTAAGAGAGGTCTCATACCGATAAGATATCGCTTTATAAGAGTATGTCCCCAAAGACTCTTGTAAAAAGGGCGAACATAGATAGGATACCTTGTGCCTTTGCGATAGGGTCTATCATATATGCCAAGCTATATACTAGGCCTGATATAACGCATGCTCTGAGTGTCACGAGCAGGTATCAGGCGAATCCAAGCTTGGAGCACTAGAAAGCAATAATGTATATCCTTAAGTACTTGAGAATGACTAAGGATCTTTTACTAGTATATGAAGGTAGTAGCCTAAGGGTTAAAGGCTACATGGACTCGAGTTTCCAATTCGATGTTGATGATAGTAAGTCTAATTCAAGGGATGTGTTCACCTTGAATGGAGGAGTAGTATGCTGAAAGAGTTCCAAGCAAGATACTACTACTGACTCGACCACAAAAGCAGAGTACATTACTGCAGCAAAGGTAGCAAAGGAGGGAGTTTAGATGAAGAAGTTCATCATTGATTTGGGAGTTGTGCCAAGTAGCGAGGAGCTGATTCCCTTATATTGTGACAACAATCGAGCGATTGCTCAAATGAGGGAACATGGGTCTCATCAAAAGTGTTCTAAGGAGGTTCCAACTGATTAGAGAGAATGTAATCGGAGGAGATGTTATAGTGGAAAGAGTTCCATCCGAAGATAACATCATAGATCCACTAAGAAAGTCATTGTCTTAGATTATCTTTGAGCATCATAGGGGTCTGATGGGAATCAGACACATATGTGATTAACTTTAGGTCAAGTGGGAGATTGCCAATCATAGGTGCCCTACAAGCCAATCATGTGAGTGATGGCATTTTTGACTTGACATACAATCTTTTTGCTTATTATTATTATTATTTGATATTTTATCATTTTATATTGCCTATTGCATGAATATATTATGATGTCGATAGATTTATGCAATGGGAATCGGATCGTGATGAGATCACAATAATGAGACCGATTCACCTTTAAATACAAATCTTAAATAATCTCGGTCATAGGTTACTCGAGAGGGACATCGAGATAACTAAATAGACTGTTTACTGTATACCCATATATATGATGGAGGCAACTGGTCTCATATCTGCTCATGTGGGGACACTAGGGATACAATGCAGATGCTCATTGGAGAATTAGTTCATTAATTGATCCGCTCATGAAATATTAGATGGTTAATGATACCTCATTATCAGACAGTGGTTTCATTGTCCCAGTTATGTACCTGGTCCTTAGACTTGAGACACTAAGGATGTCCTGTATTAGTACTCTATGTTTGGAAGTTCCAAATCTAACATAACTAGGCATCGGGAGAGTCAGTCAACCTTACGAGGACTATTAAGTATTGATAGAGGTTCATCCACTCTCGGTGTAATGAGAGGAATATCTCATGTGTTCTTGCTTAGACAAATCCCTGGTTAGGGTCATTTGGATTGATTGAAAAATAGTTATCTAGGAGAATCCGATTAGAGCGAAACTCGAGTAGAAACTATATGGGTCTGACAACACCACACCCGATATATGATCTCTAGGATATTAGATAGATGAGAGACTATAGGTACATAGTAACTGAGAATAAATCGGTCCAATAGATTGGATTCTCTTGTATCGTCTAGGGACTACGGTGTAGTGGCCTAGTACATCTGTAGTTGATGAGTTGGGTGAATTATTATGGAGATAATAATTCACTAAGCTAGAAGGAGTTCTGACAGGTATGATTAATGGCCAGCTCGATATTTGGCCTAAAGGGTTATACACATATGGTAGGTATTGTGACAAGTAAAGATTCGGATATGAGATATCCGTCAGAGCTCCTATCTCATTAGATATCCAATAAGCCCCTGTATTATTGAATCCTGTGGATGAGATCCAGTAAGAGCCAGTGAGAGATTATTGGATAGAGATTCACTAATATAAGTGGCTTGAGTAGTTGGATGGAGATCTAGTACTCTATAGGACATGATCCATTAAGGTTAAGTGTGCAAGAGACCTCTATAACTAGAAGGGAACCAAACACTCATAGGCTCTACTTCTCTTGGTTGTTAGCTTCTATTCTCCTCTCCCCTTCTCCTCCTCAAATAATAGGCTTGGAGATTTGAGGAGCGTTGTCGCAGCCTTGTTGTGTGGACCAACGCTAGAGAGTGCTAGTCATAGATGCCCTGTGAGCCAATCACCTGAGTGATGGCATGTGTGACTTGACACGATAATGATATCCATGGATATATTGTTATTATTTGATATTTTATCACTTTATATTGCCTATTGCATGAATATATTGTGATATCCATGGATCTATGCAATGGAAATCGGATCGTGATGAGATCACGATAATGAGACCGATTCACCTTTAAACATAAATCATAAATAATCTTAGTCATTGGTTACTTGAGAGGGAGATCGAGATAACCAGACAGAATAGTGTGTTATATACCCATCCATATGATGGATGTAGTTGGTCTCACAGCAGCTCGTGTAAGGACACTAGGGATATAATACTAGTGCTCATTAGAGAATGAGTTCACTGATTGATCCGCTCATGAAATGTTAGATGATTGATGATGCCTTATTGTCAAATAGCAATTCTGTCATCCCAGTGGTATATCTGATCCTTAGACTTAAGACACTAAGGATGTCCTGCATTAGTACTCCACTCTTTGTTATCGGACTTATAGGTCTGGAGGTTTCAGATTTTGCACAACCGGTCATTGGGAGTGGTAGCCATTATTACGAGGGTTATTGAGTGTCGATAGAGGATCATCTGCTCTTGATGTCATGAGAGGAATATTTCATGTGTTCTTGCTTAGACAAATCCCTAGCCAGGGTCATTCGGATTGACAAAGAAAGAGTTCTACAGGAGAATCCGATTATAACGAGACTTGGGTAGAAACGATGTGGGCCTAACAATAGCATGCTTGGTATACGATTTCTGGGGTATTAGATTGATGAGGGACTATAGATATACAGTAACTAAGAATAGATAAGTCCAAATGATTGGATTCCCCTGTATCGTCTGAGGATTGCGGCGTAGTGGCTTAGTACGTCTGCAATCGTTGAGTCCAATGAATTATTATGGAGATAATAATTCACTGAGTCAAAAGGAGTTCTGACTGGTATGACTCATGGCCAGCTCGATATTGGACATAAAGGGTCACACACATATGGTAAGCGTTGCGATGAGTAGAGGTTCAAATTTAAGATATCCGTTGGAGCCCCTATCTTATTGGATATCTAAAAAGCCCATGAATTATTGGATCGTATGAATGAAATCCAATAAAAGCTAATAAGAGATTATTTGATGGAGACCCACTAATCTAAGAGGCATGGGTAGTTGGATGGAGATTCAGTACCCAATATGATAGGATCCATTATGGTTAAGTTAATAGGGAGCCTCTATAAATAGGATGGAACTAAAGACTCATAGGCTAAAGACTCTTTTTGGCTACCTCCTATTCTCCTCTCTCCCTTTCCTCCTCATACTACAGCCCCTATTTAGGGCGTATGAATAGAAAGAAGGGGCAACCCCTTCTTGATTGCGTGGAGCACGCGAGGAAGAGTTTTAGGCAGCGATTTGAGAAGCATCTTCGTAACCCCTATCGTGTGGATCACTGCTAAAGAGGATGATAGTTGACCTCCTTCATCCAGTCCATAGGCCTCAAGTTTTCAGGGATATACAATCTCCCTAGGTAATTCTCTTACACGTAGTTTTTCGGTTTCGTAGTTTTTGCACACCAACTTTTGCACAATGATGAAACCTTCTTTTCTGTAGGAATTCTGGGATTTTATTTTTCAGTTCTTCTACTGCGCATGAGATGTCGCCCTAGATTTCCCAATAGAGAGGAGAACGCTTGATCTCTTTCATCTCTCCTACAGATCTATAGGGATTTAGGGATATACAATCTCTCTAGGTAAAACACAAACTATCTAACCCGTGGTTTTTGGTTTTATAGATTTTGCGCACCAATCTTCACACGACCACAAACACAATTTATAGAAAATATGATAATTTTGTTTCCTGGCGTATGTGATGTCATCCCCTAGATTTCCTTATATATATTAGTACCCCACCCAAGTGAGTGGGTCAAGAAATAACCATGTGCAAGCCCATGTAAGTGCATATATGAACGATGACCGATAAGCATTTGTATTTATAAAACTTTTAGATATGTTTGTATTTTTTTTAGTTAAATATTATAATTACGTATATGTGTCAAAAATATTACGTATAGGACAAACCCTATCATTTTGTTTAGTAAGTTAGCATATTTTAATTTTAAAATTACCTACTTTCCGTTATAATTTTATCAATAATAGAAATAAAAATTAAATTATGATATCCTTCTTTAATTATACATGGAGCAAAGGCGACAATAAGAATAAGATGTTATAATAAAAATATATTTTTTAATTTTACAAGAAAAAGGAGAAGAAAAGGGTTAGGAGACAGAACAGGGGAGACAACGAAGAAAGGGAAGAGGAATGCAAACTAATGAGTGCTTTCGATTAAAAACTGGTTAAAGGCTTTATCGTAAAGTACCTTTATTTTATTTATATTTTATAATATTTTATTTATAATTTTATGAATAATTTTATATTTTTTATTATAAATAAATATATTATATAATTTAAAAAAATTCTTAATTTAGATCGGTTCAATTGAATGGGTTAATTTGATTAAACAAGTTTAAAAATGGAGAGAAATAAAAAAACAAAAAATTCATTTTCAAATATAAGAACTTCCGAAAAAATAAATCAGCTTCCCGCACGGTAAAAAGGGACAAACTGGCTTTTGTGGACTAATCGCCCACCCTATAATGTAGCCTTCTTTTACTGCTAGAAAATCATAATGGTGCATTTGTTGAAGTAACAACTTTTTCTAGAAAAATTTTCAGGCTAGTGCTGAAGATTCGAGAAATCAAGAGACATTTTTCATTATTCACTTATCAGCATCAACATCATTGGATGCAAGTGGAAGTACTGTAACTTTCATAGTCATGGTAAATGATTTATGATCAGCTATTGGTGGCACTCTGTCATTTGTTGTTTCTTAGTATAGTGGATAGAACAGAGTCGAAGACAATAAAAACGGTGAGAACACCCTTGTTCACTTCGAAGTACAAATATTACCAACTTAAACATCACTAGTTCATAAACATGGGCATGTTTTTTTCTTTTTTTTCCCAAGCAGTCTGTTTTCTGCACTGTACAATTTCACGTTACCATCGAGACAAGCAATCTTCTCAGGAAATGCATACATCCTCGTAAGCCAAATCTACAGCATTAACAGTTTATCTCTTCCGTCGCTTGGGTTCAGCCTGCAATAGCAAACAAAGAATCCGACCAATAAAAGACCACTAGAGAGAGATGGATATCTAATTATGAACAGTGACCTCTTTTAGAAGCAATGTTCCCCGAGACATCTAGAAATTTAACACCTAAAAAATGTAATTCTAAAGTGCTTTACATCAAGCAGCTTGATACATATTTTTCCAGTGTCCTACTGTGTAAAAAAGAAAAAGTATTCTACCATTGCACTGAGTTTTTATAGCAATTGTTGATAAAAAAGGCTCCTCTTTCACATGAATTCAGGCATGCTACAATGTATGAATGGACAAAATACAAGGAATACTAGGAACCAAAACTAAAATCGAGAATGATTATTAAATATGTTGAAAAGAAGCTTCTGACATTATTGCATAATACCATTATGTTACAGCCTGCTCATGCAAGCCTGCAACATGCAGATACTTAGTCATGCGTCATTTCAGGCCATTCCTGCCTTACGTAGTCATCACACAGAGGCAAGATTGCTAAAGAACATAGCCTCCATCCCACATTGTGCATGGAATTTCCTGTGCAAAAATGACATCAGAAACATCAGCCATCTAATCACCTTGAAACCTCTTAGGTGGCACAAGCCTGGATGAGGCTCCAGGGTAGTGTCCAGGATTATGTAGTCACATGCCTTGCAGCTATATGGCAGACTAGCCATGGACCATTTATTGCACGAACATTCTAAGTGAGCAGCAATGTCCATTTCTTTATTGCCAATAAAGTACTTTGTTAATATATTTTTAGAGTGACCTCGAGTTGCACTTTGACTAAGTGATGATGGCTGTTTGTCCTGCATGTTCCCTTTTCACAAACATGTTTTCTTTCTGTATAGATCCTTATTGGACGCGCAAGGTTCCAAGATGATTGATCCTTTGAGAACTAGTGTGCCAAGGGTGAGGTAGTCCGCACACATGACTGTTTGGGCAAAACGAATGTAGAGACATGAGGAAGTGGATTTAGTTGCCTAGAGAAGTGGCATCCAAATTGGCATTCAAGGTCATAGCTAATCCCTCATGCGAGAAGTACCACTAGGACAAGCAACTTTAGAAGAATGTGTATGTGCAAAGGGCTGGGATGGTTGAGTTCAATCTTGACATTATCAGCCTAGCTTGACAGGGATCTATGCAAGTGGAAGTGCTTAGTAAAAATGGATGGGCGCAAGTCAAGGAGTGGCTGATTGATGATTGAAAGTGTCGTCGTCCAAGGACTAGCAAAGGCAAGGGGAATAAATATATCTTCTATTGTTTAATGGTATACATAACATCCAATAATTTGTTTAATGTCTAATTTACATGTATTGTTCATCATAACTATATCTAATGTATATTGTAACATAATTTTAATCTTTTATGTTTACATATTATACATTCTATAACATATCATTAAACAACTAAACAGTAGCAAGTAAACAAAATTTACAACTATCACTAATTTGACAATGACACTAATGATGGTAGTGGTGACTGATCAGGAGCAACAACGATTGCTCCAATCATGATGGACAAAATCTACAATGAGTTTGAGTTGTAACCTAAAGGCATGCTCCCGTCCTCTCTCCCTAGTCCCTTCCTTTACTCAAATCCACCTTCCCTCCTATCATATGTACTACACTTGCCCCCACACCTTTCTCTTTTCCCTCACTTTTTGATCTATTTTCCATGTTCTAAAAGCTTTTGGTCGGAATCAGCAATTCTCAAGGACCCCCCCACCTATCACCTAGAAAGCTCCAACCTAAATCAGTTAGAATTGTCTAGAAATTGGCACTCGAAGGATCTCGAACACTCATCTTCCAATCCCAATCCAAATTGATCGATTTTAAAAATTGTGTAATGTGTTCATCTAGTGGATGCTTTATAACACTTTCTTTCATCCAATATAGAAATATGAGACTCCATCAATTTTTATTCTATCCTAACCAACTCAAGTTTTAGTTTTTTAAAATTTTGGAGTTTTGGCCGAAATAAATTGATTGGAGTTGTAACTAAGTTATCAATCTCATCCTTCTCTTTGTATTCAGCCTCACCTGAAAGTTCAATTGGTATCTTCTTGTTTAAGTCTTCTTGGATCTTGATAATCTTGTTATACAAGTGATATGGCCATTATTTTCAGTCACTCAAGACTCGTCATGTAAAATCCAATCAGTAGCACTTATTGGGCATGCCACATCAACTACAACGTGCCACAATAACAGAGCATTTAAAGGTATCTTCTCAGGTATGTATTAATTCCGGACTTGCTAAATGAATACCTATGATCTTTTGATGCCTACCGACACATACTAACTTAACTATGGAGGAATTTTGCCAACCAAACCCCCGACATAGTCTTTTGAGATGGGTGGGATATGGAATATGGATGTTTTTCATTCACAAAAGTACCAAATACTCAAGAAACTCTACTCTTTCGAACGCCACTGTCATTGAAAAACTAGCCACATAGGATCAATTTCACCAAGCCAAATTGATATATAATACCATATTCATAAAATATTCATCTCTTATTATTAGTCCTTTTAGTTTTGAAGGAAGAAGATGAACAGAAAAGATAGAGCAGAAAATACTCATTGAGTTGAGTGTTGGTTCAAGCTTCCTAGTAGTCTAGAGAGAAGACGTGGCATGGGCTCTCTCCCTTGACCACCAAAGTGGAAGATGTATCTAAGGTTGACAGTCTTCCCAATTGACAAGTTGCCGATCCACCCCATTGTCACGAACGGTCATCGCGCAGCCGCAACAACTCCGTTCAACGAACCGTTCGTCGCTCACACCTACATGTACAGCTGCTTGACAGCATGTTTTCTCTTGGTTTTGGGTCATTTTGCTTGTAAATATGTAAGTTCGAACAAGCCGCAGCGTTACAAAGCGACCGCTCACCGAACCGAGCAAAACAGCCCCAAAACAGCCCAAAACAGCTCTGTTTTCGCGTGCCGCGGGAGGGTGGCGGAGAACTGCCTCCGCTCACCAAAACGTCAGCCATCTCAGACCCCAGGAACCACTCGGGTGGCATAGGGCTGGATGGGGCTTCGGTTATATACCGGGCGTTGAACTCTCTTTCGCAAGTTCGCACGTGACCTTTACGGGAACTTGTCTTCGCGCCCGGGACCAGGTGCGCGACTGTTTGTGGGCTTGCAGCTGTTCGTTCATCCTTGAAAGCCTTGTTTTTCTCCCTCTCCCTCTTTTCTCTTGTGCACACAGGGTGTTCGTCGAATTGCTTGTAAAGCTTCCCTTTTCGCGAGACTTCGGGACTCGTCCGTTGCTCGTTCTTTCGAACTAACCATCTTTCTCTTTTACAGGTCCTTCGGGACCTGCGAGAGGTTACAAAGTGGGCTGATCCTTGCGGAGCAATATCGCAAGGGCGAAGCGCGACTTAGGCAACGCAAGCTAAGTGCGCGTCTTTGCCACAAGGGTGACTCGCGACTTCGGCAACGCAAGCTAAGTTCGTGTCTTTGGCCGCAAGGGTGCCTCACGCCTTAGGCAATTCCAGCTAAGGTCGTGACATTGTGGTATCAGAGCGGGCAAGCTCTTCGATCGAACAGCGAACGAACTTCGCAACTTCGCCATGGCAAAGCATCGTGGCGAATCAAGCAAGACGGGGCAAGCCAGACCCTTGCCCCAAGCAGCCGCAGGTGGGCTGTATGTGCACACTCGCTCTCATGCTGTTGGAGCCGCTCAAGAGGAGCGCGGCAGCGAACAAGATGAGCGAGAAGTTGGCTACTCTCCGCGAGCGGAGGAAGCGCAATCTGGAGCGCTAATTGGGAAAAAGAGTCACAAGGAGAGACTCACGACGACGGAAACCCGCCTGGATGTTCTTGAAGCAAGCATGGAGGAACTCTACCATGGCCAACAAAGGCTTGTTGGGGTAGAGAGCTCGCAAGAGGAAGCGGAGTCCAGGATCGACAAGGTCGAGGCCCTAGTCGACCGACTGTCTGATGACACCAAAGACTCCGTGCAACACTTACAGGATGTTGTGGCGGAACTCACTACAAAGGTGGCTATGCTCACAAGAACACTAAATGCGGGAGGAGGCAACACCCGCGTTGCACCGCCACAAAACTTGAGGGCACCTGAGCCTCATGGATATGGAGGGGCCAGAGATGCCAAGGAGCTCGAGAACTTTCTGTTCGAAATGGAGCAATACTTCCGAGCTACGAGGCCCGATTCTGAAGATACCAAAGTTTCTATAGCAACAATGTATCTGAATGGAGATGCGAAACTTTGGTGGCGAACTCGTTGGGAGGAGATCCAACAGGGTTAGTGTCGAGTCGACACATGGGAGGACTTGAAGCGGGAGTTAAGAACTCAGTTCCTACCGGAGAACACAGAGTTCGTCGCAAGAAGGAAGTTGAGACAACTCCGCCAAAGTACCACCATCCGAGACTATGTGAAACAATTTTCTGCACTAATGCTGGACATACAGGACATGTCCGAGAAGGACAAGTTGTTCAGCTTCCTCGATGGGTTGAAACCATGGGCTCAACAGGAGCTAAATCGAAGGAATGTTACCGATGTGGTCGGGGCAATTGCTGCTGCAGAAAGGCTCACCGACTTTGTTTCCTCTGAAGACCCAGCGAGAAGGAAACAATCTTCAGGCAATCGCCCTCCAAAACATTCTCGAGGGAAGGAGCTCGGGGGCGAACAGAAGAATAAGAGCTCCCACAAAGGGCCGAACCCGAAAGGCAAGGCCTCAAAACCTGGAGGATGCTTCTTGTGCGGAGGACCGCACATGGTAAGGGAGTGCCCACAAAAACAGGCACTCAACGCGTTGACGGCTTCCATCCACCCCCCCCGATCGGACAAGGGCAAAGCTGTTGCTCTTAGTTCGAGCAGTTCAGAATCCAGCAGCGACGACGAGGAGTCGCAAGGACCCCGAATGGGAGCAATGCGTTTTTTGAACGCTATGCGGGGTCAAGTAGGGGAGAACATTAAGACAAAGGTACAAAAAGCAGGAAGTAGTGAACTGATGTATGTGGACATCAAGCTGAATG